TAGTACGGGGGTTTAAGGCTTAGTGCCTTTTTGGAGTGGCTTCGGGTGAGTTTTTATGTGGGGTTCAGGGCTCATGGAGGCTTGAAAGTGGTCCTCATAGATCCGGAACCCCTGCTGAGCCTGAAGGCTCAAGTGAGGCCACTCCAAGTGATCCGTGTGTCTCGAAAGACTCTACTTAAAGGTTCATGCGGTTGATGGACAAAATCCTCCATGANNCATGACCCAAATATAGTATAGTACCAAAAATCCCATAGTTTAGGTATATAAGGTCATGCAGGATTTTGTCCATCAACCGAAAGGTAACTCTACCTTATAATTACTTACAACCCCAATTAAGGTACTTATAACTGTACTCAGTAAGTCCCATGAACCTCCAAGTATAGAGGCAGTCGAGCCGAACGGTCCAACTTCAAATCCATTGAACCTACGCCTAAAACCCTATGAAGCGAGATGCCGTCTGATGCTCTGCTTCACAAATCTTGACGTCCAGACTCGTCCAGACAAACTTCCATTCCCTAAGGGCCCATGTGCCCAAATAGTGGATACTTTGGGCCCAAAGGACCTATATAGGGACTACTTTAAAAGTGTATGCAATTTGAGTACATGGACCCTTAGGGTTTCGGTTTCAGGGCAATACCCTCTAAGCCTCAAGGCATATGCTCTCAACCCTGTACCCTTACTGAAGCCTCACAAGCTCGACCCTTGAAAGGAACCCCAAAACCAATCCCAAAAACGTACCCGAACTATTTTATTCGGGTTAGATCGAGTTGTTCCCCCTAAACCCTAAACCCTAAACCCTAAACCCTAAACCCAAAACCCAAAACCCTAAAGCCCCTAAACCCTAAACCCATGATATCCATCTTCTGGATCCCTAGAACCCTAGCTTGAAGACCCCCGAAGCCCAAAACCCTTCACCCGAAACCTCAAGCCCCAAACCGAAACTCAAACCGAACAGAACTTCGCGACTCACGCCCTACACCCTAAACCCTATAGATCCTAAACCCCGGATGCTCCGAGCTACCCCGATGAGGAGCAGAACGGAGCTTACACGCGCACGTCTGCAAGGAGCTTCCTCGGGGGTCTCCTTCCTCGGAATACCACCGTGCAGCAATGCTTTAGGTTTAGGGTTTAGGGTTTAGGGTTTAGGGTTTAGGGTTTAGGGTTTAGCGTTTAGGGTAGTGGCCAGCCTCCCTAGTCGTGGCCATCGGTCCTTTTGGGTTTAGGGTTTAGGGTTTAGGGTGAACCCTAAACCCCTATGAGCTTGTGGTCCAGGGTTTGTAGGGTTTATTCGTGATTGAAGTTCAAGGGTTTGGGGGGCTATCCTTCAATGCTGAGCTTCATCAAGCATACAAAATACGGCACTAGGTAAGTAATAAAAAGGGGGCTCGGCCCCAATCTACTCGGCCCCAATCTAGGGGCCTCAATAAATAGAACATGCTTTTTGGGGTATGTTACAGTTAGCCATATGTAAAAATAAACATATTGAAACCAAAGGAGGCAAATACCTGAGCTTCTGTATTAGAGGGCGTGCAGGGAACCTCGCATACAGAGCTCGCGAAGCAGAAGGAGGTTTCGCAACGAAGGTACAAGGGCTCACGGGCTTTCAGGTTGAATGAAGGGTTCTAGGGCTTCTAGGTGTTCAGGTTTAAAAATTAAGGTCTTCTGGTTCAGGGCTGAGGGTTTCCAGTGCAGCATGAACTTGCCGGAGGTTTCCCCCAGAGTTTCCAAACTTGACATATCAGACCAAAACCCTAAACCCTGAACCCCAAACACCTAAACCCCCCAAATCCAAAACCCCTTACCGTAACTGTACAGATCCTTTAAAAAGAGCCCCTAAACCCTCTTACTAAACCCTCTTACAGGAACCTTTATAGATCCTGTAAATCAGCCCATAAACCCGCCTGTAGGAACCCTTCTGAAACCCTAGACCCCGTTGGTCAGTAGCATTCCCTTCAGAGTTGTTGACGCTCGGGATCCGGAGTAGCTCTTGCAGTTCTGGGTTTAAGGTTCAGGGTTTGCAGGTTGAGGCTATGGGATCTAGGATTTTTTTTGGGTTTAGGAGCTACGGGTTTAGGCTTCAGTGGTTTAGGGCCTTAACTAGCGTCTCTCTCGTAGCCCTCGCAAGCAGGATGTCCTTCATCTTTCTGTTCCCGCTCAGCAAAGACGCCAAAGCAACAAAAGCGCACTAAGGGCACTACCGGGAACCCTAACTCTCAAACTCTCGAAACTGCTTGAATCACTGAAGATAGCCGTTACAAGAAGATAGTTTCAAGGCCAGGCATCAGAAAGGCGCGCACCCATCCCATCATACGATCCTGGCAGCAGATCGACGATAGGAGCCCTGAACATCGTCGGAATTCGAGCTTCGGGTTCTTGAACCCGCAGTTACACATTCGGGGAACAAAGTTCTGGTTTGAGGGTTTAGGGTTCTCAATCCCGAGTGAAGGAAAGAGGGCACGAGAAACTACCGCTTCGTGTAGCGAGCCACGCAAGTCGTCGCGAGCTTAGAAGCAACAAAGAATTCGTGGTGGTGGTCGTGGTTGAGGTGGCCATTGCTGTCGCAGTAGTGCAGCGGTTATCGCCGAGATTTTATAAATAGCAGCACTAACAACAGCAAATGCCATCGTGGTCGTCGTTAATCATCGTTGTTGGGCTCGGCTCAGCTTCAAATTTACGAAACTCGAATGGAAGCGCAGGCCACTGAACCGAGGGTTCATAGGGTTTGAGGTCCTGTTGGATCCTTTCGATGTGTGTTAGATGGTAGTTGCAACAGATAAGCCCAAACTGCCAAGGCACATGTACCTTCTCATTTTGCTAGGGCGTCATCTCCTCCGAAAAATTGAAGGTACACGTATAATCTTGGTGACTCTCGAGTAAGCCTGAGATGTGCCAAGATTCCGAGGCCCAGCCGTAGGCGACGAAAGTCCCGGCAATCAGCAGATAGCGCAGGTGGGTATTCCTAGCCGGCCCACGGTAACAGGTTTAGCGTTTCGGGCAAAGATAGGGAACAACAGCCGAAAGGATCACTGAAAAAGGTAGCCTGTGATGCTCGAAGTTTAGATCTTCCTGTTCCAGCTGGCTAGATTGATGGCGAAAGAATTTTTTGTTGTGGAAACTTGCGTAATGCTTTTTGCTGCGATGTCAACAAGGGTTGGGTTCGAAGCTCAGCCATCTGGGATGCTCCATCCCTAGACCCTAAACCCTAAA